AAGGGTCCAGTCTTCTGACTTAGCTTGTACTTGTATTGTTGAGACTTCTTCACTCTGCTCCTTTCGGATACAAAAAAGGATTTATGCAACTTTATTCACTTATGCAGTAGTTTCCCAAAGTGACAATCAGACATAACAAGCCCCTTTATGCAGTGATAGGGCAGCGTGGAGGGGAGACTCTATAGCTTTCTTTTATTTGTTACATAATTGTTTCTCTCATTTTTCATGTGAACACCTATGCAATAAGAAGTCTTTTCAGTCTACCATTTTGGTAGGAAACTACTTTGTTTGGTGAGATTCAGGAAAATATCATGGTTTGGATCCTAATCACTTCGTTTGTCACCTATGGAGCATCCCGGGCTAACTCTACCGATCAAGCTGGCATGCCAGCTAGGTCTTCTTTGCTGGCCTCAACATCATCAGAATATCAATTTAGTTTTGATATTTGCTGCCTTGAGGTTCAGGTTAAGAAGATCACCTGAACAAGCTAATTTGTGTAGATCTAGAGGTTTTTTTTTCAGCCCAAAATGGCTGATGGAGGAGGAGGACTGGACTTGGCTACAGGTGTACTTATAACGCATCACAGGAGACAGGAGTAGACCCAAGCGCAGAGCGCAGATTTAATCAACAACAGTTTACACAGGGAGTAGGCTTAGTGGTATCCAGTAGACAGACTGAAGAGGTCGAAATCCAGGAGTAAGGAAATAGGCAAAGGTACCGACAGGGATCAGGCAGGAGGCAACGAGGTCTGGAACAAACAAGGGGTCTTCAACGGGGGTACAAACAGGAGATGCAAATAACGCTTAGAATGTGATGTTGACTTCGCAAGGAACACAGAGGGATAAGGGGTATATATACAGACCAGCTTGATGGGGAACCAGACACAGGTGTGTAGGGATGAGTGGGTGTGCACAACAGGCAGACACACAATGGAACAAACCAACACAAAACGGGACAGACCAACTAGACAGTAAACAGGGGGGAGTTTGGGGACCAGATTTTGAAGGCCTCAGTACTCCGGAGAAGGGGCGCGCTGGATTGTGACAGCCATTTTCAGGACATCGGGAGAGGAGGTTGAGCCTGTCACGTATTGGTTTTCTAAATATTTTGTTGTTATCTTCATTTCTATTATAATTACTGTTGGGCAACGATTAAAACATTTAATCTCTACAATCGCATGGATTTCTCCGATTAATCACATTGCAATGAGCAAAATTTAATAATAAATTCCAAAGTAATGTATTACATGTATTATGTAGCTATGTAGCAGTTAAAATATTCATTGTAAATCTCAACTTAAACTTGATTAAATGAAAAAATGATAATGAAATCAAATATAAACTGAGCTATTTGCCACTGCCAGGGTATTAAAGTTTTATCTAGATTGTTATAGGAAATAAGGTACCCTCCCCAACCATATCATTAGAGCCTAAAGAGTCTATTGATGAATTACTTATCCATCAATAATACAGCTACCGTTGTGAATCACACATAAAATATTCGATCGAATAGAGACCTAAAGTTCAGCACCCAACAGACTTAAACCAATTCGCTGTAAAGTGAATTCCACTAGAGGTCTGGCTATTTACAGAATCTCTCGCCCCTATACTGTTATTGAAATCCTCTTTTTCACATGTCCTACGTCAATATGTTCGGTTCAGGACTGGTTCCTCCATCCCATCCATACATTAAGGACCTCCAAACCTACACAAACCGCATGCCATAACTGGTTTCATACCTTCCGACCGTTATTTACCTTTAAACAGTCGGTTTTATGTGCTCTCAAATATTGCGCAACACGTCTCGTGCCTTAAAATAAAAGCAGTTTATGGCTATTTAGAATAATTCATTAAACATTTTTTTATTTTAAATCAGTGTTGATAGTAAAAATACTTCACTGACAGGAACTGTATTAAATTCATTAACAAGAAAAGCTGACGTGGTGACGCCATCGAGTTGTATGTGCATGTAATGATGGGCATTGGGGTTTAGTAAAACTGGGTAAAGACAAAAGGTTCAAAGCAAACAACACAATAGCTGTGTGAAGAAACGGGGCAGTAAAAGCAGTACTAATAGCCTTAAAATGCTTTTCCTGTCAGTCATTACATGTGTTGCGCAATAGTTGAGAGCAGAGGACACTGCTCTCAACTATTCTCTCGTGTCTCTCCTCTTTGTCTGAGCAAGTGTAGCAGGGATTCACGTTCCCAGAGAAGACACTTTGCAGCAGTCCCATTAATATCAGAAAGAACATGCATAACACCAAATTCCCTTGAAACTTAAATAATTTATTCACCACCACCACAACAATGTTAGCAGAGTGGGTCACAATAACATCATCATCAAAACAAATACACATAAAAAATAACAAGTCAACTAATGTGACAACGTTAGCTCTCTTTTTTTGCTGCTACTCAGCAAGTCCACTGGCTATAAACGGTCAAGGGGCTGGGGTCTGGTGACCTATATTGGCACTCCTAATTGGATAACACAAAACTAGGTAATTTTGAATAGTACCATTAAAACTGCACTTTGTTTCGATTTAAGAATGAAGAATGACACTGTGGGATAACATTTTTTTGTTGGTAGGAAGATGACACATTGATGACACTACAATGCAATACTACAGTGGTGGCATATACTATATATACAGTACATATATATACATATACGTATGTGTATATATATATATATATATATGTATATACAGTTGCAATCAAAATTATTCAACCCCTCATTGCACATTAGATTTATTGGCAACATATACAATTTCTCAGCTGTTGCAATAAACAAATTACACAATAACTGTTCAAGTAGTTTAATGAAACTAATATTACAAAGCTTTTATCCAAATTCAACACAAAATGCTACTTTTAATGACTTAATGAATTTACTGCAGTCTCAAAATTATTCAACCCCTTCATGCCAAGCATCTTCAGTACTTAGTAGAGCACCCTTTGAAATGATTCAACTCCCTGTATCAAGCACACCTGGTGCAACTAATCAAGGGCTTCATCAGTTCAGGTGTGCTTGAGATGGAACGCATAAATACCTGGTCTGGCTCTGGATTTGTTCAGAGTGACGTTTGATTGCATGTTAGAAATATGCCTAAGTCAAAAGAATTGTCCAAAAAGTTGAGAGAAGAGATCATTGCCTTGCACAAACAAGGAAAAGGATACAAAAAGATAGCAAAAGCACTGAATGTCCCTAGAAATACAGTTGGAACCATAGTTCGCAAGTTCAAAGTTGAAGGAACAGTGGCTACACTACCGGGACGTGGCAGAAAGAGGAAGCTATCAGCGGCAGCCACCAGATTCCTGAGGAGGCAAGTGGTCAAAAACCCTCGAGTGACTGCAAAACACCTGCAGCAAGACTTGGTGGCAGCAGGCACTGAGGTTTTAGTTTGCACAGTAAGGCGCATACTAAACACTGAAGGGTTCCATGCCCGGACTCCAAGACGCACACCACCATAAGCCATAAGCCACCAAGTTTCCAAGCCATTCAAAGTTTTGGAATTCTGTTCTGTGGAGTGATGAGACAAAACTGGAACTATTCGGGCCTATGGATCAGCGGTATGTCTGGAGGAAGACGAATGAAGCATATGCTGAAAAGAACACCCTGCCTACAGTGAAGCATGGCGGTGGCTCAGTGATGCTCTGGGGCTGCTTTGCTGCCTCTGGCACTGGAAACCTGCAGCGTGTGGAGGGCACGATGGATTCAGTCAAATATCAGGAAATCTTAGGAAAAAACGGCATGCCGTCTGTGATGAAGCTGAAACTTGGGCGTCATTGGACCTTCCAACAGGACAATGATCCCAAGCATACCTCAAAGTCCACCAAGGCTTGGTTTCAGAAGAAGAAATGGAAGATCCTAGAGTGGCCATCACAGTCGCCTGACTTGAAATCCCATCTGGTGGAATTTGAAGAAGGCGGTTGCAAAACGCACACCAAAGAATATTACTGAACTGGAGGCCATTGCCCATGAGGAATGGGCTCAGATTCCTCAGGAACGCTGTCAGAAGCTGGTGTCTGGCTATGCATCACGCTTGCAGCAGGTCAACAGCAAAAGGGTGCTCTACTAAGTACTGAAGATGCTCGGCATGAAGGGGTTGAATAATTTTGAGACTGCAGTAAATTCAAAGTCATTAAAAGTAGCATTTTGTGTTGAATTTGGACAAAACCTTTGTAATATTAGTTTCATTAAACTACTTAAACAATTCTTGTGTAATTTTTTTATTGCAAACAGCTGAGAAATTGTATATTTTGCCAATAAACCTAATGTGCCATGGGGGGGGGGTGAATAATTTTGATTGTAACTGTATGTATGTATATATATATACATACATACATATATATACCGAGTATGAGATGTGACTTGTCTCTGCGTGGAGCCTCTAATTGTTTAACAGCACAATTAAAAGACATGAAGGTCGGATTTTTTTGGCAATACGCTTGAATGTGAGCATGAACAGAAGTGTCTGTTCTATATGTCCACTTGTATGTGGGAACATTTGAAATATTCCCTTCTGTAATGATCTTTTGAAATTGAGTAACTGCAGTTGTACGGAGTCATTTGAGCACAGAGGTCAAACAGTCGCAGGACTTAACCAGGAGACAGGTGTACTGGTCCAGCGTCATAGGTCTCACAGGTGTTACAGAACACCTTACACAGTGGGATCAGGAGCCTTGCTTTCAACCAAAGTTTTTAATTCATCACAACTGAATTGGTTTATTTTTGTCCAGGAACGAAGAGGTAGGTTGAAAACAAACCCTTTACCACTTTTTGGTACGTCAAATGGAAAGTCTGCAAACCTGAAACCTCCCCAATATTCCCTCATTGCACAGTAGAACTGTGTACACCCAAAGCAGGTCAAGTGTAAACGTCATACAAGGTAAAAGTACCTGTCATAAAAAAAGAAGCTAATGAACAAGCATCTGTAAGGCAATGTCATCTTTATCTCTATCTGAGCGCTGGTGTAAGAGACAGTCTTCTGTAACACAGACTATAAAGCCCCTTAAGGCAAATTCTTTATTTAGTCAAATCAAGACAATTTAGACAAACCACTAAGATATACCAAGGACCTACATACAGACAGAATAGTTTTATAGTTGAATGCAGGATCCTTTCAATATTAAAAAATATAGATTCAAATTTACTTAACGTCAGTTCAAAGTAGAGCTCTCACTTCTTTCTAACTCGACTCTTCTAAATGGAGTACTGCAATGGTTCCCTTAGAAGTTAGTTGTGTACATCTGAGCGCTTCGGGGATATTTTCTTACTTTCAGGTACACTGAGTTAGAATATTACTACATATATACACATCATAATATATTCTGCCTTATTAATCGCTGTTTGGGGGGCCTTTCAGTTGGGGCTGCAACCGGGTTGTCTGACATACCCAATAGTCAAGCGTGCCCTGGTGTTTTGTCCGGGAACCAGAATGCATTGTGGGATGTTTCTGTGAGACTACAGTGTGTCATGACAGCTCTGATGCTGAGCACCAAAGGAAATATAAAAGGTAATTCTAAGCCAGCATTTTTTCAACATCCATCAATAATTCCCTTGAATAATTCAATTATTGACTTCAGTAGACAACCTTTTATTTGAAATGACCTTTTTTCTGCAACAAATAAAGATATTCAGGCTTACTGCTTTGTAATATTGAGTAGAGATAATCGCCAAATAGGAAAATCGCGTCTCGTTTTGATAACTGTGTGAAGTGATACATATTGATAGGGCTTTTAGAATGTAGTGTGTGTGCATGCATTTGGTGTGTGCGGTGTGAATGTATAGAAAACATGTGGTCTGTGCAGTGAGATTGCAATAATAAAGTAGGAATTAGTTTGCTACCACTGCTTAAAATTATTTTAGAGACAACATTCCATTTAATGGTTTATCTACTATTGTCACGAGTCAAACATGGAACAGTTTCACTTAGAGACAGTACTGATGCACATCTCTAACATATTTCATGGTTTTCAGCTGTACATGATTGCGTGTGTGGACGTCTTTCAGCCGTTATTTTGGTTGCATGGCCACATAAGGACAATTTAATATCATTAACACTGCGCAGGCACTTCACTGAGAGAGGAAGGTTTAATGGGTATAGACGTTGCTTGGAAGCCAAACATTAAGAACCAACAACATCATGCAAATCTTTGCACACAGGCAGTGTGTCAACCAACCAGTAACTGTAATGCAACACTGTACTTATTGTACTCCTCATTGGTATCAATGTCAAGTTCCCTGTATGACCACATTGTCCCTGTATGTTGTGCTCGCATTGAACTGCTCTGTACACACAATGCATGTAAGACAAAGTACAATTGTAGTTTCACTGTGTGTTTGTGTGTGTGTGTGCGAGGGAGGGAGGAAGATAGCGTTTGTGCTGGCTTGTAAGAGAGTCTAGCTGCACTTGCAGGACTTGACCTTCATGCTGGATAGCTGCTCTATTTTGGGGGTCTTGCCGATGTAGTAGAGGATGGTGAGGGGCTCCAGGTCCTGGGAAACGCAGCAGGGTGATGCCGATGCTTCGGGGTTGATGGTGTTGTACAGGCCTAACACCTGAAACATAAACATTACAGCCATTACATGAATGTAAATACAATATGCAATACAATAGGACCCTGTTCCTTATACAGCACCTTGGAATGCTGGGTGTCTGCACTCCACAAATAGGGACAGGCTCCGGCACAGAAGTTGGCCTCGTAGCCCTTTGGCTCGTGGATCCACCTCCAGCCAAGGTCTTTCTTAAAATCAATGTAGAGTGACCGTAGACAGCAGTTGTCCTGAACGTTTCTACAAGCGATGAAGGGGAGAGGTGAAGGTAGTGCAGTAGGAACTGATTTTCTCCAGTCTGACTTTGGTGAATACAGTTCATCATTGATTTAGGGTGGATGCAAGACAGGACAGTGGAAAGGTACTTAAAAGCCCCCCCCCCCTACTTTCTCTTCTAAAAATGTGGAAAATACAGAATATCTGCGGAAGTAAAAGTGTTAACACAAGATGGACTTGCCCATTTGCTTTGGATAAAGGAATTGCTTTATATAGGAAGAGAGGATTATTACATTTACAACTGTCCTCCGTGGTATTTGTTATCCAGCACTTGTAGCCTACATTTGTTGGTTCTGAGATATTTGTCCTACGACATTTTAGATGCTGCCATCTAGATCAGAGGTCTTCAACAGGGGGTCCGCGAAGGTACTGGCAGGGGGGTCGCAAAATTTTTGGTTGATAAGACAATTTTTTTAAACATTTTTTTTCCCCACAAATGTAAATGTCATCAGAATCAGAATTTTATTTATGGTCTTTAAATACACATTAACATGAATCCAAAATATTGAAGCGAACGGATAAATTGATGGAGAAGACGTTATCTGTCAGTCCGCAACACACACATTCAGCTTCCCTCAGCAGCTCTCAAGCTGGGCACCGTTCACAGCTCCTTTCATGCGAATGCGACAGTGCAGGCACCAGCCAATCAGATCGCGTTTATGCTCACGTCTAAAGGGCGTGAAGCTCAAAAATAAAAGATGGCGGACCAAACTCCGTAGAATAGGGGGTCCCTGCTCCACCTCGCCATCAGTTTGGGGGACCATGGCTTGAAAAACATTGAAGACCTCTGATCTAGATTATATACATTTTATAAAACCTTTACTTTTCTTACTACGAAAGACCTCTAAAAGGATGTTTACCGTCAACCCATTAACTTAGTGACCTCTATTCTGGGCTGAAACTAATCCACTAATGCATGTGTTTTATTGTCTATCTTCTATTTGTGTGTCAGACGATAATTGCCGATGGTCACTGAGGAGGAGGGGGCTGGGGGGTCTCGAAGTGTGCATTCCTCCCCACCTGTTTCCCTGCTCAAGTTCCTTTATGCCAGGGTGTCCTTCTGATTGGACAACACAAACCTCTGCTGTGTATTAAAGCTTCTTTTACACCCAGAAACCTTGTCAAACTGTCTTGCTCCCTGCAGGAGCAGGAAACGCTGTCCCTTTTCAGCTGAATTCTGTTTTCCTGTACTTACGGGTTGTGTTGATGATTTGTTTATTCTTTATGATTTTTCAGTATGTTGGTTTGTAATAAATACATATTACAATCAGTCACAAACTAGCTTAAGATACTTCTGATTTCTCTCAAAGACGTTATCCACTAATTTCACCTCTAATATGATGGGTGATCATTATTTGATTCCTGCAGACTATAAAAGTTGTAATGGATATGGCGAACAATGAAGAATGACAATGACAAAGCAAACTCAGAAGCGGAAAAAATCTTCCCTAATGTGCAAGTGGGAATTCCAGATTAGTACCTTGAGCAGTAGGCGGCGTCGAGCGCTCTCTTGGATCGATGGGTCGTGGGCTGGGACTGGGACTGGGACTCCACCCGGTATGAAGGAAGCAGCATGAGTAGAAGGTGTGGGGCCCGAGTGCTTTGTCGACGCTTTTGATACATCTTCAGGTCGTTGCCGTGGCTGTAGCTGTCATCAATACCTGGAAACAGAGTATATCAATGCTGCAAGTCAATATGTGAACCCACTGTACCCCTCTGTCCTAACTGGTGAGGCACCGTTGTATCTTAAAGAGCTTATAATACCATATTTATGGTTTATAATACCATATTGCCAGTTTTTACATCATTATTCTGCTTACTACAAATCATTTCTGCCATTTGCATTGGAGGTGTGAGGAGGCCAGAACATAGTGACTTTGGGAATGGTAAATGGTCGGGAATGGTAGCAGGCAGGCAAGCGAGCCTTTGTCCAGGTAACATAGAACAAAACAAACAAACCTAATTAGTCTATTTAACGTTAATTATTAAACTCAAGGCAACATAACCTAATCAATTATGTGCACACGGCTACACGGATGTTTCCCCCGTTCCCCCTTAACAGTCAATGTCCTCTCCCTTTTATAGAATTGTCTATCAACCAACTATATGTCGCACCATGCGTACAGGTGACACCCATTTCACAAGACTCTCCACCCCCGTATACTTGGTCTGACGGGCTGTTATCACTGCTGTATAAGTACCAGGTACCCCTTTTAGCCTCTGCCTAGTAGGGTATGTAACCAAGTCACAAACTAGTGTAACATGGGGCAAACGGTGAGTTCTCACCCACTTGCTGACGATGATGGGATGAGGAGAAGAACTGGGCATGGATATGACGGAGACTTGAGGTGAATTGGGAGCATAGTGTAATGACAACTGAAAGCAGAGCAGTTGCAACGTTTTGACAGCAGATATATATGTGATTAGCTTAGGGAAACTTGGGCTGCTCTCGGATAGCTTCCAGCTGATGTACAGGAGAGGGCAGTCAACCTGCTGTGACGAAACAGCCCCATTTGATGATCTGAAGAGTAGAGGGGAGAGAGCCTGTTTGAACCGCTCAAACACCAACTGCCACTGCTCTGACCACGGACCGGATCTGAGGCACCTGTTTAGGTAAGGCCGGTCAAGGGGCATTTTTTTGTTATTGGCCGGCTGCAATAGTGGCAATCTTGTACACCTGAGGGCGATTTTCCATGCACTCTGGTGACGGAAGAATCTTCTAGTAAAATCCTTGGTTAAATCCAGTGTTGTGAAGAAACGTGCAGTGACCATCAAGAGTTGGTCGACCCGCGGCTTGGGTAGGCATCGAACTGGGACACATCATTGCTATAGCTTTAGGTCTAGACCGCCGGGGCACTTCTTAGAACACGCTCAGCTCCTCTCTCACTGTTAATCTCTCCTTCTGCAATAATCCATGTTTTATTAAGGCACATCACTAATTCAGCTTTTCAGCAGAGTTTTTTGTGCGTTCTTGCCTCGCAGGTCTCCGTAGATCATAGTTCCGTCTGGACACTTGTACTGACTCCTGCCTGGCCCCGCGGACACCTACCGCTTCTAACACCATTGATATTCCCATTTCTATCGCTGTAAACATTAATGTGCATCACTAACTTTGTTTCTTCCACGGAGTATTTGTGCTTTCTCGCCACACAGGTTTCCATGGATCATGGTACTATCTGGACCCTGTTCCTGCCTCCTACCGTGGCCCTGCTGACACCTGCTGCTGCTGCTGCTATTATCATCATCATCATTATTTTAAATATTAATCACATTACTATTACCCTTTCCTAAAGTCTTTCCTTCCCCACAGGCTTCTGTGGATAGTGGTTCTATCTGATGGTTGATGTCCCTGCAGTGGTCCTGCCGTGCACCTGGCTTACTACTTGCTTTCTCCATGTTTTTATTAGGTTGAGGTGTTAAATCTGTAGCTCCTCTTCTGTCAGACTACACCACCTCATAGTCAACATCCCCCACTCGGCATGTTACCACCAAGGGCCCTTGCCACAAGTTTGGAACTGGAAAAACTGGTTACAAGTATCTTTTCTCCCGGTTTGAATTGCCTCAGCCTTGCTCCTCTGTTGAACAGCGCTGTCGCCGTTCCTGGGCCTGGAGCAGATTCTTACGTAACATCCGACCCGGTGTGTGGGATTTTACTGGACGTAATGGATCTCACCCTTACCGGTGCTCAGTGTTTGTGACTTAACTCTCAACTCCCAACAACCTGACTGTTGCCTTCGACAACTCCGTCGTAACCCCAGTCCTGACTATTTGTGTACCGTGCGGCGAACAGATCAGGTCCAGTCTACATCCAGGACATTCAAACCTTATATCCCTGCCTGCTCATGCCGCTCTACATCTGCCATTCTGCTTGTTGCTCCCTCACAGAGAGCAGAACACTAAACAACATCCCAGCTGTCAGCTGTCTCCTTAATGGTGGAATGAGCTCCCTGTACATATCTGTACAGTGTTGCATGTCATGCTCTTTGTAAAGTTCTGTTGGTTTATTTGGCGCTTAATAAACTTCTGGATGTTCCATGTTTCACTGCTTCAATTGATCAAATGTCTGATTATGAGAAACAGATATATACTGATTCGCCCACAGATTCACTCACACATAGGCCCGTCGCAATATGCGATAAAATGACATATCGCGTGCTCTCTGAAATCGCGAAATACTTTTTGGTGCTGCGATATTCATTTTATATATAAATGAACGTCACCAACATTTAAGTTGATCACGCTGCCTCTGTCCCTTTTCCCTGTGGAAAGCAGAAAGTGGAAGCTCCGCGTGTTAAACCTCCCCGGCTGCCGATTCGCCCGCTCCGTGTCCCTTGCACTTTTTTTTTATAGGATATATTTTTTCCCATTCCGATTCTAATGTCTAATAAAACGTTCTTTGAAATAGCGTACTTTTATTACTATGCTATTATATTGGCATTATGTCATCAGTGGCATTTAAAGATCTTAAAATTGCAAAAATATCGCATATTGCCATAATATCGCATAGCGCAACAAAAATTTGATATCGTGGCAGCCCTACTCACACACATAATAAAACTCCTAGTTCTATATGGTCATCTACACATACATATGATACATAAGCTGATACAGTACATATATCCTATTCATTCGTATCAATTAGACCAGTGGTCTTCAACAGGGGGTCCGCGGAGGTACTGCAACATTTTTGGTTGATCAGACAATTTTTTTTTTCCTCCACAAATTTAAGCTCTCTCAAGCTGGACACCGGTTAATTCACAGCAACTTTCATGCAAATACGACAGCACAGGCACTAGTCAATCAGATCGCGTTTATGCTCACGTCTAAAGAGTGCAAAGCTCAAAAATAAAAGATGGCTCCATCTCGCCATCAATTTGGGGGTCCTTGGCCTGAAATGACCCCTGAATTAGACTTTGGGCTTGTTTTCATCTACATATTCTGAAAGAGTTGATAATTCTTCTCAATGGATAATGATGATGCATTCCTGATCACGCCTCCTGCAAGCAGGTACATTTAAAGAAATGTTAAGTGATTGATTAGTGATGAGGAACAATACTTGGGGCTACAAGCCCGACAAAGTCTCGCAGACAAGTTGAATGAGATACTTTGTCGGGCTTGTAGGCGGTGTCAGTCTTTGATTATTTTATTCAATTCATTTTATTTATTACAAAATCGCAAATTTGCCTTAGAGGTCTTTCCAGTCTGTACACATGTGACATTCTCTGTCCCGAGACCCTCACATCAGCACAGGAAAAACTCCCTAATAAAATCTTGGGAAGATGGGGAGAATAAAGTGAAGAAACCTTTAGAGAGACACAGGAGGATCCTCCCCTGGGACGGACAGACTGCGATGGATGTACAGAATGAACAACAAGAAAGATGTACAATATGTTCAATTCATCCGACAAATGATTCAAATACATCTAATACAGTACATCTGGAAAGAAATGGTAAATGGTCTGTACTTGTATAGCGCTTTTCTAGTCTTTCGACCACTCAAAGCGCTTTAACACTACATGACATCTTTCACCCATTCACACCCACTGTCAACACACTGATGACAGGAGAACCACACACAGTGACACCTGCCCATCAGTAACTAACATTCACACACTGTAGTCGCAGCTACAGGAGCAATGTTGGGTTAACATTGGGTTGGCTTGCTCAAGGACACATCGACATGCGGGTTAGCAGAGCCTGGGATCGAACAGACAACCCTCTGATTGGAGGACGACCGTGCTCCGCACTCACCCAAGTATTCGCAGCGCTTCACTTTTTACACATTGTTATGTTACAGCCTTATTCCAAAATGGATTAAATTCATTATTTTCCTCAACATTCTACACACAACAACCCATAATGACAGGGTGAAAACTGTTTTTGCAATTTTTTGCAAATCTGTTAAAAATAAAGAACTAAAACATAACATGTACATAAGTATTCACAGCCTTTGCTCAATACTTTGTAGCAATTACAGCCTCAAGTCTTCTTGGGTATGATTCCACAAGCATGGCACACCTATTTCTGGGCAGTTTCTCCCATTCTTTTTTGCAGAACCTCTCAAGTTCCATCAGGTTGGATGAGGAGCGTCGGTGCACAGCCATTTTCAGAACTCTCCAGAGATGTTCAATCGGGTTCAAGTCAGGGCTCTGGCTGGGCCACTCAAGGACATTCACAGAGTTGTGCCGAAGCCACTCCTTTGTTATCTTGGCTGTGTGCTTCAGGTCGTTGTCCTGTTGGAAGATGAACCGTCACCCCAGTCTGAGGTCCAGAGCGCTTTGAAGCATGTTTTCATCGAGGATGTCTCTGTACATTGCTGCATTCATCTTTCTCTCAGTCCTTCTGGAAGGTTCTCCTCTCTTCGTAGAACAACGCTGGAGCTCTGTCAGAGTGACCATCGGGTTCCTGGTCACCTCCCTGACTAAGGCCCTTCTCCCCCGATCGCTCAGTCTGGCTGGGCGGCCAACTCTAGGAAGAGTCCTGGTGGTTCCCAACTTTCCAGATGATGGAGGCCACTGTGCTCATTGGGACTTTCAATGCTGCAGAAATCTTTCTGTACCCTTCGCCAGATCTGTGCCTCGATACAATTCTGTCTCGGAGGTCTACAGATAATTCCTTGGACTTCATGGCTTGGTTTATGTTCTGATATGCACTGTCAACTGTGATACCTTATTTATATAAGTATTGGTATTGATTGGACAATCCAATCAACTGAATCTAGCACAGGTGGACTCCAATCAAGTTGTAGAAACATCTCAAGGAAGATCAGTGGAAACAGGATGCACCTGAGCTAAATTTTGAGTGTCATGGCAAAGGCTGTGAATACTGTCTTTACTGTGTAACATGTACTGTGTACATGTTATGTTTTTTCGTTCTTTATTTTTAACAGATTTGCAAAAATTTGCAAAAAAACAGTTTTCACTTTTATGGGTTGTTGTGCGTAGAATGTTGAGGGAAATAATGAATTTAATCCATTTTGGAATAAGGCTGTAACATAACAAAATGTGGAAAAAGTGAAGTGCTGTGAATACTTTCCGGATGCACTGTATGTGTTCATCTCCTGTTTGTCAGGGGAGAAAAAAAGACTCTCTTCCTGAGTTTATTTGCCGTTATACGGTTAAAAATCCTGATTTCGGTGATCAACTCTTCCGCCTTCTGAGATAGAACACGCGCGATTATCCCGATGACTGACATCTGGTTCCAATTAACGAGACTGTTTGAGCACAGATCCGCTTTTGAGGAACCGAGATAGTCTGACATCAACCATCTTGTTAATTTGAGCTGGATAATGGGACATTTGATCGACTTAGTTGAACCACGTATGAGGAACAGGGCCCAGGACAGCAGAAAGTCTATTCAGCTAACAGCGCTCAAAACCAACGTGATCTCCAAAACCTGTTCGTAAAAATGTATACGAAAATCTTGAACATACAAATTCGTAACAATACATACGAACTGCCCGGGTTAACCACGCCCCTTGTGTGAACAACATGGCGGACCATGTCGGATTCTTGAGTGAACGTCTCTCCGCCATGTTGGATTCTTGAGTGAACGTCTCTCCGCCATGTTGGATTTTTTGAGGGGGTTAGGGTTAGTATTCTATTCTTACAAGTTAACATTGATTTCTCGTTAAAAATGCAATCATAACACGTTTATTTTACATCGTTAGACTTCACAAAGTGTGTTTACGGGGTGCAGGTCCCCATTCACTTTGAATAGGGTGACGTCATCAGTTGCAGTCCGTATTTATTTCGTATGTATCACTACAAATTTGTATGTTCAAGATTTTCGTATACATTTTTACGAACAGGTTTGGGGGTCAGGCTGCTCAAAACACACCTCTATCGACTATACCTGGATTAGTTAGCACATCACTTACTGCTATAGCACATTGTAGTTTGGCTTGTGTTTTCTTGATTTTTGTTGTTCTTGTTCTGTAACCCATTTGGTTGAATATACTGTTTGTAAGTTGCTTTGGATAAAAGCATCAGCTAAAACAATAAAGGTAATATAAATTGCCTGGGCCAATAAAATTAATAATTATCTATTTCAGCTGAGACTGATTGAGCCTCTCCTGGAATCGTTCCCTGAACCCCTTCTCTCCACACCGCTCCGCAGCTCAGCCCAGCAATGCGCCGCCGCCACAGGAGGGTATTATGCTTGAGCATGAGCATCAATCTGTCCTTATAGGGTCATAATGGTTTCCGATGTTGCATGCTTCTTATACCGTCATGTGTTTTGAGAAATGTAGGTGACATCTTGCATCAGAATCGGAGATTTGTGATGTTTTGAGGACATGCCAAATAGGAAAACTGCCAAATAGGTCAGCATAATCAAACATTGCCAGCCAGTAGTGTAGGGTATCAATGTATCTTATGTATCTTATACCGTGAAATTTAATTCACGGTATAATTTGAAGCAGGGACGGTAGTATCATATATACCAATATTTTTTTCTACAAAGACAATCTATACAAATGCCTATTAAGGGGTAGAGTACAATGGCAACTCCATGGCATCATTTTTTCTGAAATTGATGTAACCGACAAAATAGATCACCTGAGTGCTTATTTTGCAGAAAACGAAATAATAATATAAGCTGCTGGTAGTTTAGGATGTTAAAAGCCCATTACTGCCTAATTATTCAATAGGTCTGTAGAAATATCCTCTTCCGATGAAGTTAATTATGAAAAGCTACATATTATTCGTTTACAGCTTTGTAATTTACCCCAGCGCTGTCCTTTATACTTCCTGAATAGAGCATGACCATACCATGTAAATAATCAGTTTATTTACTGCTGGTCTACAAGGCAAACATGATCCAATTGCTAAGTTAGCATTAAAATACTGAAACATGTGGCAAACTTGTGGCAGGTAATGCACAGACAGTGTTTGTTTACTTGTTGTTTCTGCATGAAGTTTTCATAAAAGGACAATAATAAACAGTCAGTGAGACTTGTGGACCCTTATAGGACAAGTGTGGATACTATAAAAACAACATCACATCAAATCTCGCTTAATATTTCATCAGCGCTGCGTCTGCTGTCCTCAGCTCAGAAGGGAGGGCCGAACTACCTTGACACTCGTGGTCATCTGTAGCAGTTGATGAAGTAGTTTATAGCAAGATTCAATTTGTTTTATTTTATATAGCCCAATACATTTTAACAACCTTTTTGTAGATCATGACACCTCAACGAGCAAATCTCCCTGAGCATGAGGAATTTATTAAATTAGCAAAGTCCAGAACAAAGCCAGTGACGGCTTTTGTACGATCACTCCATAGCGCCATTATCATTCGTAATCATATGAAAATATTAATTAAATGAATTGTTTTCACCATGTAAATGGTGGATTTCACTGTTGTAGTGACATTTTGGAAGCAGTCAGTCCGATTGATGTAAATACTCCAATTTGTATTATGTTACTATTGAAAGGTTGGCACTGTAAGGACTAAATGAATTGAAGAAACAGGAGGGAACCAGTGTTCTTCCTCGGTCTTCTCTGTGATTCACCCTCAAGACGTACTGATAAGCAGCTCATGATTGAGCATCAAGATTTATAAAGTGCTTTGCAGTGACCATTTATGGCTGAATGTGTGTGTAGAGGACGTGATGTGGGTATGACACAGTTACACACATTTACTAGTGGTTTTTGGATAAAAAAAAAAAGGAAATTGGCCTTCATAGTAAACAAGGTTTTATAATATTCTTTGGGGTAAGTGCATTTCTTTCTTTTTATTTAGACAAACGTAAATCAGTCCACAAACACTGCAAGGTTCAGTGGTGTACCGCATCTAAAAGGTTCAAATGTTTAATAGGCAACATTCCCCAGAGTAGGGTAGCTTAATTTGACACTGCAACCTGTCAGAAAGATCCTTCGGAAACCACGGGAAGCAAGAATGGTCATAAACTGAAGAAAGTCGTTAAAGTAGAGAGTGGACAACTGTCCCAAAAGCCTTTGTTAATTAATGAGACCAGGAGAACCATTTATTTTGTTTCTAAACTAATAGGAATTTTCTTAATCAAACAACCTGCAAACCGTGCCTCCAGCTCCTCACTCTTGTTGGGAATGATGTAGTTATTTGATGGTACAAACGTGCAGCACGGGCAATGTAGGCTGATCTTGAATCCACTGTTTCTGTCTGTGGAGAAACAACAACAATGTAACATGTGCAATAAATGATAAGAAGCGTGCTGCTGTGATGCAGGGACTGCACACGGTGTTATGACCTCACCTCTGTGGTTCAGCCATTCATTCACGGCCTCTGTCACATCGAAGGAGAGCCACTCTCCCTCAGTCTGTGTTCGTACCACCTTGCTGTCTATATATCGCTGTGTTGGGGATGTCAGGTCTCTGTATCCTAAAATCTGTGTACAAAACAGACGCATGAAAGAAAATATTGTGAAGCACAAATCATATTTTAGACAGAATTCTTGATTTTTTTAATAATCTTAGTGGTTAAAGATAATTACCCAGACTTCTATGCAACACAGTCCTCTCAAACAACTATTCTGACCGATGACAAAATGGGTCATCTTTAAATATACATATTTCAATTGCTCGTGAGGTATTTTCCGTGGTTACGGTTTAACCAACTTAAATGCTTTGTTCCGATTTGTCGACATGGTGAACATATTAGGACTGTTGCTAGGAGACATGTAGTAGTAGATGTTAAGATGAGTGACCACATGTTGCGTGCATCTCTTCTCCAAGGCCATCAGACATCCAGGCGACCTGAAATCGGACTAAGTATCTTTTTCTTTAAACCAAGCTAGTCTGCTAAATTTGTTGTTGATTCTGGTGTCTTAAGTTAATTTCATTGCTGATTTGCCGACGGCTGATTTGCCGTAGTTCTTGCCGTTTTACTGCCAGTTCTCTCTGTTTGAGGTTATCTTGGCTCCTAGTTTGCTTAAACTCTTTCACTTTTTTAGTGCCAGTTGGTGCTCTAGACTGTACTATTAACTGCTAGTGTGCCCTCCTAACTCTGCTAGGTTTGACCTGATCTAAGTCTGTTTTGCCTTCACTTCTGAATCAAATAAGACTTGAATCCTTAAACTCCCAGTTTGTCAAAGCGCCACATGGTGATTGTCCACTGAGTGTCAAGCAATTGGTGTTTTTTGAGGAGTTTCTGTCGAGGCTAATCGACCTTTTGTCTCCTAAACGACGGGGGCGTGGTCAGCGCAGCCTTAGCCAACTTCCACTAACGAGGGAGTATTTAACTACAGATCGAGTGAAGCGTTAGCTTCAGCGTTTGCTTATCCTCGCAGCACAAAGACGAGCAGGACAAAGACGAGGGAGTCAAGACGAGCAGGACAAAGATGAGGGAGTCTTTCGTGGGAGTCAAGACGAGCAGGACAAAGACTAGGGAGTCTTTCGTGGGAGTCAAGACGAGCAGGACAAAGACTAGGGAGTCTTTCGTGGGAGTCAAGACGAGCAGGACAAAGACGAGGGAGTCTTTCGTGGGAGTCAAGACGAGCAGGACAAAGACGAGGGAGTCTTTCGTGGGAGTCAAGACGAGCAGGACATAGACGAGGGAGTCTTTCGTGGGAGTCAAGACGAGCAGGACAAAGACGAGGGAGTCTTTCGTGGGAGTCAAGACGAGCAGGACAAAGACGAGGGAGTCTTTCGTGGGAGTCAAGACGAGCAGGACATAGACGAGGGAGTCTTTCGTGGGAGTCAAGACGAGCAGGACAAAGACGAGGGAGTCTTTCGTGGGAGTCAAGACGAGCAGGACAAAGACTAGGGAGTCTTTCGTGGAGTCTTCGGGCCGGCTGAATGCGGCGGCTTCTTCTAGTTTTAATTATGTGTTTGAGCCCTTTACCCATACCTGTCCGAATCTCTTCCCGCAGATACTAGAGGCCTCGGGCTGAGATCCGCTCTCTATCGTAACCTCTCCTCTCCCACCTATCCCACCCGCTCCACTCATGTCCAGCACCTCGTCACAGGGGGCCTCTGGAACTGCCAGTCAGCTACTCGCAAGGCAGACTTCATCTCCGGCTTCGCTATCCAGCAGTCACTCGACTTCCTCGCTCTCACCGAGACCTGGATCACACCTGAGAACACATCCACCCCAGCCGCTCTCTCCTCCGCCTTTTTCTTTAGCCACACACCCAGGCCCACTGTTAGGGGTGGTGGCACAGGTCTACTCATTTCACCCAAATTGAGCTTTTCTCTTTACCCTCTTCCACCATCCACCCCACTGTCTTTCGAATTCCATGCTGTAACAGTTACTCACCCGGTGCAATAAACTATTGTTGTCCTTTACCATCCGCCAGGCTCCTTGGGTCATTTCTTGGAAGAACTGTCCAACTTCCCTGAAAATGGCCCTCCACTCATCCTCCTGGGTGACTTCAACATCCAGACTGAGAAGTCATCTGACCTCTTACACCTACTTTCTTCTTTCCCTCGGTCACTCAGTCCCTCTCCTCCTACTCACAAAGCCGGCAATCACCTTGACTACATCTTCACTAGAAACTGCTCTACCACTAACCTCTCTGTAACTCCACTTCATGTGTCTGACCACTTCTTCATCTCATCTTTCCCACTCTCTATAACTAACAAACCTCCCTCATTGACTGACTCTACCTGTTCGTTGCAACATTCGCTCCCTCTCTCCCTGGCCTCCTCTGTTCTATCAGCTCTCCCTTCCACTGACTCCGTCTCACTCTTGCATCGGAACGCTGCTGCTGAGACTCTCCTCTCAACTCTTTCCTCCTCTCTAGACTCTCTCTGCCCTCTGATAACCCGACGGACTGGCAAATCCTCTCCGGCTCCGTGGCTGTCTCAACCGGTGTGTGCCATGAGAGACACCATGCGAGCATCGGAAAGGAGATGGCGTAAAAATGAATCACCTGACGACCTGCTTGAATTTCAATCTCTTTTCTCCTCTTTTTCTGCTTCTATCTCTGCTGCCAAAAGACTAACAAATTGTAGCACTTAAATTGTACTTATAACGCTATCTATAGCAAATTGTAAATTGGCTTATTTGAGGAAATTGCACTTTCTTGTTTCTTGTTCTTCTGAGTTTGTACCCTATGGTTGAATGCACTTATTGTAAGTCGCTTTTTTAGTCAGCTAAATGACGCACGAATGTAATGTAATGTTGGTGGTGCTATCTGTAAAGTCACACAAATCTCTCTGGGGCCCATGTTCAGTATGTCTGATTTCTGGCAATCTCTCTTAAGTGGTGTCCTTTCATTTTATTACTTGCTATACACAAGTGGTCCCCAACCACCGGACCGGTCCATGGGCCGTTTGGTACCGGGCCGCACCACAGAAAGCTTATATATTTTTTTTTCCGGAAAAAAGTTTTATTTTGAAAATTGATTTTCTCCTAATTATGTGCGCTCGTCCCTCTGACATATTCCCCACGCGTTACCAGGTGTTTTTCTTCACGTTTACAATTGTCCTCTTACCGTGCACGGCAGTTTCGCCCACCAGCGAACACAGAGCGCGCGACTACTACTTGACCTCTTCACCACTACCAACAACAACCAACAACAACAACATCAACTTTACGAGAAAGATGGTGAACGGAGAGCAAGGTGAAGCTACATCCCTCTACTATTTGTGCATGATGTTAATAGGAGTACAAGGAATGCGAATGGCGCTATTGGCTGATTTGATAACGGAGAGAAGACGCCGTCGGGATCTCAAGCATGCGCAAAGACGCAAAGTCCAGTTCCTCATCCGATTCACCGTTACATGCCGCAATAGTCGAACTATCAAGTGGATCGGATCGATTTATCCAGGGGTGTTAGTCGGATCGTAGTCAGACATAGTCGGACAAAGGTGTTTACATGAAACGGATAATTCGATTTCAGTCTGACTAAGCCAGTTATTCGAATCCATGTAACATGGAGGTCTGGGAGGAGGAGCGAGAGTGTAACCAGATTCTGTCCGAAACCTCTTTCAGAACCATGTCTTTATGTTGGCTCTTTCTTGTTCTTTTGAGTTTGAATCCTTATGGTTGAAATGCACTTATTGTAAGTCACTTTGGATAAAAGCGTCAGCTAAATGTAATAATGGTCATTACCTTACTGGAGTCAGCCTGGGTTGCTTTGGAATTAAATGAAATGCGTCCGTTAGTAAGCAAGAAACGCTGATTACATTACATTACATGTCATTTAGCTGACGCTTTTATCCAAAGCGACGTACAATAAGTGCATTCAACCATAGGGTACAAACTCAGAAGAACAAGAAACAAGAAAGTGCAATTTCCTCAAATAAGCCAATTTACAATTTGCTATAGATGAGTGACGTTACAAGTACAATTTAAGTGCTACAATTTGTTAGTCTTTAGTCGAGGTAGAGTCTGAAGAGGTGTGTCTTTAGTTTGCGGCGGAAGATGTGAAGGCTCTCTGCGGTCCTGATATCTTCAGAGAGCTCGTTCCACCATTTCGGCGCAAGGACAGCGAAGAGTCGAGATCTAGTCGAGTGTTTTGCTCTCAGTGAGGGAGGTCACACAGGTTGTGATTTGGATCTGGCTCCTGACTCATGATCTCAACACATTCCCATTCTCCACTACAGCTGGACCGTTTCACCGCCTCGACCACCGTCTGCACATAGAGACCATCCTCAAATGTTGGCGCCATGGCAACCGGTCCTTTTGCTCATGACCTGCGCTCCTCGTGAGCCTGAAAAGACTGTCTCAGCCCCTTTACCATGGAGCTCAGCCCAAGCAGGTGAGGAAGGGGCATCTCTTTAACATCCGGTCCCACCCACCCACTGTCGCCTAGCAACAGCTCCTCGCCTTTACTTCCATTGCGTTGGCCATATAGCATTAGCATTAGCATTACTTTCGGTCATCTCCCGCGGTAGACCGCGCGTGCGTGACGTGACATCACGTGATCGACTGGTACTGCCTTTGAGATCAACTGGTCGATCGCGATCGACGGATTCAGCACCCCTGGTCTATACAGCCAGACCCTAAAGGTTTCCAATGAACTAAGCTTTTAAGGGCTCTGTGAACTTCCAACAGGAAATCGGCTCAATTTAAAAGGCTGACCAGTATAAACTTCAACACCAGACCCTGGACAACAAGATTCAAACGGGGAACCAGAACATATGAAGTGTTTGTTAAAACAATTCAGTATCTCCATTTTGTCATGAACAGCAACAGAATCCTTCATAATAAAAGCTGGTAAAGTTTGTGAGTTCTTGCTCTCTACCCTCTGAAACGCTCTTCAAGGTACCCTTTCCCAAAAGCCCTTCAGGTTCGTGATTAGTGGAATTAACATAGTAAAACACTCAACTTGGAAATGTGGCTGTACTACTACCAAGAATATTCCCTTCAACTGCTTCTAAACAAAGAACTTCATAAGCTGACACCGGACACTTCATTCAGTCCACTTTATGTCAAGACTATGTTGCTTAAAAGTCTGTAAATGAGTAAAAATGTCTAAAGCAAAATGTGTCCCCTACAAAAATGTTAAAGAAACAAAGCAAAAGTTATCCATTGATTGAGTTATGACATTACAGTAAAAATCCTTTTGTTGCCTGAAAAAATCCCAAAGGTATCTCTGTAAATATTTGTTAGCGATCCCTGGGAGCTCCTGATATCAAACCGGTGGAAGGTGTGTGTACCTGGTAGAGTTCTATGCGCTGCTCAGAAACTCGGGCACCATGGTTTTGAAGACGGAAGATCCGAAGTTCAGCTTTCACCAGGTTGGAAGCGTTCTTTTCCATGGAGGACACATCAAACGTCAACCGTCTGAAGTATGGGTTGAAGTGTGTAGCAGAAATGACATCTACAAAAAAGGGAGAAAGAACAGATGATTCGGGATATTGGCGTGGATTTATCCATTGGTACCAAGTAATGTTAGCTTGTTGTATAGCAAGCCAAATAACACATTAAAAATGTAGGCGAGGGAATGACCAGCACAGCTATATCCACAGGGCTCCTACGAACTCAAGATAGCTCAACAAAAAAGGTTGTATGGTCTACACACCACTGTTATGCCATAATGTCATGTTAAAAAAAGACATCTTGTCAGATTAATTTCAATTAATACTAGATAAACGCTGAAATTAATAGTTTAGAATAACTCAGGGCGTTAAATAAAAATACAGTCAAAGTCACCAATGCATGTTGCATTTTGTCTTTCCTTTTTTTACACTGAGGCTTAGTATTGTCATGAGAGGCCGAGATGATGTTGAATTGAGTTGAAGTGATAACATAGACATAAATAGCCAGCCGTACCACCTTATAATAAAGTCATTCATACCACGTTTGGAATTTAGCCTATAGCTCTCCATGTCAGGCTGCTACAGATGTTGATCCTGATGATTATGTGATAAGATCTGACTTTTAAAGAAGTGTATTAATGTCCATTTTTCCTTGATGGACTTCTGAATGCCAGCTGTATCACAGGCGCGTGTGTGAATGTGTGAGACCATAGCATATCATTCAATACATTTTTGTTTGTCATCATGTTTTACGTGTTAGCAAACTCTTTTTCTTGGCCTGGTGGTAAACGTGACATCATTAACAAAGTTAAAGGATCTAGTGACTAGACAGAAACATACTGCAGCAATAGAATGAAGCCTCAGTCCGCTTCAACTTGTGAGTGTTTGTCAAAGTCGGCCCCCAGGAGTACGGCAGCCCCCTGTGAAATACCTCATCTGCTGTCCTCTTTCAACAAGCATTTGTCCCTCCATGCATGCGACTTACATTAGGCACTAGGGTTTAAACCACCACTGTGAGCACCTTTTCCTTTTGTGGAGATGTTGCAAGACCTCTGCACCACCCAGGAGTCTTGCAGTTGGAATCAGGAATCAGGAATCAGGAATCCTGATTCCTGAGTAACCCCATGTATTCCGAAGACAATTAAGTATTTCTTGGACCAATTTCCCTAAACTAACTGCTCAGAAAACATTTAGCCAGAGGGTTAGACCTGGAAGGGTCCCGGTCTGACCCAGAGGAAGGTGGTGTAGGGCAGTGATTCTCAACTGGTGGGTCGCGGACCCGTTTTTAATGGGTAACGGGCCTTTGCCTGGGAAAATAAAAATGAGAATTAACAGCTGGCTGTTTTGTTTTTTCATTAAACTTGTTTTTGTGTTGGCATACGTATTCTGTCTCCATACTATCTCAGGTGTCGGACTTCAGACACATCACGTGCTGGGTGGTATGATCAAAAATCCCTATCACTTTGTTTTTTGGAAAGAACTGTCGGCATAATAATATATTAAGAGTATTTCCCCCGTCTCAACCCAAAGGGACCTCTAGTCCAATATTTTAATCATGGATCTGACGTCCTCGTCGGGGGTCTGTAGCAGGACCGTGTCCTTCACAGCCGGATCATTTTCACATTTATACTGCTGCTCCTCTTACTGTCCTTTGCCTTCTCTGTTTCACCGGCACTACCGACGACCTTGAGTCCAGGATCGCACTCTGCTTCTTCCAGTTCTGTATGGAACTGACGCGGGCGGCTAACGTTAGCCCCACTGGAAACAAAAACTACATGATTCAAGCTCCTCTCTAGGACACACGTGCTTCTAGAGCATCTCTGCTTTCGCTCTCTTCTGTTCTCAAATGTGTAGTAGTAGTGTCGGAGCCCTACAAGGTGTTTGTTCACAGACAGTTATGCTGCTAACTGTCAGTTATGTTACCCAGCATGCCGTTCTAACCTTTAGTGAGGGTGTGCAGTTATTCAATGCAACCGAAGGGTTCTCAGCTAAAGCGCTCTTTGCAGCCATTTTCCAGTATGGTGGTATATGAAAATGTATACTGTAAGGGAAATATAATTAGCATAACGGTATTTTTATCTGTAAGGTCCCCCTCAGTGGCAGATTACGGTTACTTTTTTATCTGTATCCTAATAACTTAAAACCATTCAATGTAATCCATTACACTCCAAGCCTGCAAGTTAATCAACAGCCCCACAAGGAATTTGAAGTGTTGTCAAACGGAAAATGGAAACATCAGTGATGCAATCCACTTTAAACTGCCACATGACCCAGGATGCAGGGGCCCTCAGCAGAAAAACCTCCTCAAACTACACGTGCAGTGCTGCTCAAGCTTGTGACCTAAGTGAACTCTAAAGCAATGCTTTGATCAAACAAGCACACATCCATATGCTTCAGGGCTGCTGCTCATTGGCCGACACTGAACAGTATGTAGTTTGAGTAGCTGAGGCAGATGGGCCTGGACCAACAATGGCCTGTCCTGTTTGGGAGAAAGTCACACATCCAGCTCTAGGACCAGCTGAAGGAAAACTGTTGACCCAAATTGCGCTGAGCTTCATGAATGAGTCTGCTGTGCTTTAACAAAACACTGGATGCATTGAGCAGACGCCCCGCCGACACAGGCTGTGGACGGCACACACTCGACACCCACCAGCCCTGATGGGCATTCACTAACAGAGCTTAGAGGGCTGATACAGAGAATAGATCTATGTAGCCTCACGTGTTCACGAGTTATACGTGAAGTTGAATACAGGACAACTTAATCCACCACGTCGGCGCTGCACTGACCTCAGTATGCTTCAGGCAAACAGTGTGTCGTTGTTCTACGCCCATCCATGACTAATGAGTGTTTCTACTGCTTACTCCAAAGTGATAAGCTTGCAACCATAGCTTGCCCCCATTGCCTCGCAGTTTCTCTCTCATTGTGGTCTCAACGTAATGAATCACACACATGGGGGTAACAAAGCACACTTTCAGGCAGTCTGCCGTAAAGGTATTCATGCAGTTGGTCTCGGTTGTTTACACAGAAAGCAACAGAATTAGCCAACAGTAAAGTTCGAACGCTCCACACACATGGTCTCACACTGTGTGAACTCGCCGTAGACATTGTCTCCTTTGGAAAGGTACAACTTTTTTGGATTGCAATTCTCCCTTTTCCTTTGTTCCAACGGTGAGTTCAGATGGATATGAGCCTGGTGGTTTGTGTAAAGTAGGGAACAGACGGTGGAAATAGTTTTTTACTGGGCGTAATCCGTGGAACTACCACACTCCTGGAGTATTTTTGTCACAGTGGAGTTAACAGGTTGCTCAACTGTAATATCTGGCAACCTGCTCTGTGTAGAAATAGTGAATGGATGCATCAATTTGTGTAGTATAAGAAATATGAAAAACTACAATCAGTGACTTTTTAACACTTGACAACTTGACATAACACAACAGATTAACAAACAGCCTGCATTAAATTCACAAGTAATGCCCAGTAAACACATTTGGATCCTCACAGACAGTGCACCAATTGCACAGCCAGTTGAAATACAATTGTTATTGTAGTAAAAGGAGATATATTCCAGAAGTTGGGTGCCAGTGTGGGCTGTAAGCAAATGACTGCAGGCAGCAGCACACAGCAATCAGCCACATTACCACAAATTTCTCATGACATGAAAAGAATCGGCCACAACTGGCGCCGCTGTGGTCTGTCTAGGGGTGTATCTGTGTGTGCGCAGGAGTGAGGCGAGTAATGTCGTATTACCACACATACGTATACACAAAGTGTCAAACGTGATGTTCAAACGACAACGACAAAGAGCAGAGGAGAACTTTCAATACAATTTTATTTAATTAAATTCATTTTATTTTGTACAGCCCAAAATCTCAATTTACACATTTGCCTCAGAGGGCTTTACAGTCTGTACACATGCAACATCCTCTGTCCCGAAAACCCTCCCATGGGGAGAAAAGGGAAGAAACCTTAGGGAGAACGTCAGAGGAGGATCCCTCCCCCGGGAGGGACAGACTACAATGGATGTCATGTGTACAGAAGGAACAATGTAAAACATGGACCACACATTCAGTTCCTATAAAGAAAGCCACAAATGTGTGCTAAGCTTGGACTGCCGTTTTAGCGAGTGAGCTAAATATGTATGCAATGTAGGCCACTTAGGAATCATTCACAGCTCATAAAAACAATGAGATAGACAGAAATCGCCAATGTGCGCTTTAAATGGTGTGCCAGGAGCCAAAGGGGACCCATCTGTCAGTGACCCATCTATTTCAAATAACAGATTCTTCACATGAGTGCACATTTATAGAAACTACAGGCAGAGTCTGTGGTGCAGCTGTGCCAGCTGGAATGCAGGAGCGGTGCACTTAAAGGTGTGTATGTAGAGTGTGTTTCCTCTGTATCCTTATCAGGTCTCCTTCTACTTGGTTTAATCCTCTGCTGTTATATTATTTCCAGTGGAAAACATACTCATGCTGCTCCATGCTGCTACTGTATGGGGCACTCAGTTTATAACTGTAGCGTCCACTGAAGAAAGTTTTAGGGCAGTCGGCAAAAAATTGAATTTGGGTAAGTCCGGACACTACAACCTAACACCGACTAACTTGAGAGGACCCTTCTTGGGGAAGAGGGCTGAGAGTGCTGTATGTGCCCCCCCCCGTGCTCTATGACTGCTGGCTTTGTCAGCAGAAACGCTTCTCTTCCGCTCTGAAATGACAGAGTTAGTACCACTCTGTGCAGGACTTCTGGCTAATCTGTCATGACGACATCTTTTCCATATTAAAAGCAATGTAAAAACAGCATTAGGCCGCACAAAAGCTATGATTACAAGAGTCATTCTTAAATATTCTCCAGCTGGAAGCATTTCTAGTAAATATAATTTCATTATATATACACTATTCGTGCATAAATCGCAAATCCAAGTTCATTTAAACCAATGTTGTAAACCAACGAAGGTCACTAACAGGTCAGATAGAAAGAAAGAAGAATATTTATCCAGTGAGAAAGGTCTGACTGGGAGATGTGAAGGCTGTAACTCAATCAAAGATCTGGCTCAGGATGGCC